AGAATAGAATAGAATAGAATAGAATAGAATAGAATAGAATAGAATAGGCAATAGAACAGGGTGTAAGGAATAGAGTAGGAATAGAATAGACTGGGGACTAAGGAATAAAATAGAATAGTAATAAGAATAGAATTGAAATAGGAATAGGAATAGAGGAATAGAATAGAAGGAATAAGAATAGAATAGAACAGAATAGAAGAAAGAATAGAATAGAAATAGAAAAGAAGTAGAATAGGATAGAATTCTTTATTGGCCAAGTGTGATTGGACACACAAGGAATTTGTCTTTGGTGCATATGTGCTTGGAGGTCTTTTTCTCCTTTGTTTTATACCAGGCAAGGGATGATGTGAAACCCAAGGGGATTTTTTTTAAAAAAAATGTAATATTATTTATTAAGTTTGTTTGCCATCCATCTCGACACAAAATGACTGTAGGCAGTATTTATTTATTTATTAAAATATTAATTATTTCATTCCTCATTCCAGATTTCCTTAGACTACAGGAAATGTAATTCAAGTGCAGGTAGTTCTCGACTTATGACAGTAACTGAGCCAGGAAGTCATACTGGTTATTAAGCGGGACGTCCTATTGACCATATTTTGGTTTTTATTGCTTTTTGTGCACCGGTTGTTAAGCAAATGTTGCCGTCAACAAGCGAACGCCACAGTCTTTAAGTGAATACGTTATCCACAAATAGCCATAGCAATAGCATTTAGACTTATATACCGCTTCACAGTGATTTACAGCCCTCTCTAAGCGGTTTACAAAGTCAGCATATTGGCCCCCAACAATATGGGTCCTTATTTTACTGACCTCGGAAGGATGGGAGGCTGAGTCAACCTTGAGCCTGGTGAGATTTGAACTGCCAAATTGCTGGCAGCCAGCAGAAGTAGCTTGCAGTACTGCATTCTAACCACTGCACCATTGCGGCTCAAAAGGGGTTTATTGCTGGGAACTGGAAGTAAACACTGGTTTCTGGCCCCCAAAATGTAAATTGCTCCCAACATGCAATCACATGACCATGAGGGAGGTGTGCTTGGCTGTCAGAACTTAGAATCCAGGTTGTAAGTAGCCTTGGGGAGCTCTGTTGTAACTTCAGAGTCGCTAAGTGGCAGTTCGTAAGTGAAGGACTACCTGCAATCACTTTTCCTGCTGCTGCTTTCCCCGTTTTCCTCTTCTTACATCAGTATACAGGTAGTCCTCGACCTTTAATGCTTAGTTTAGTGACCTTTCAAAGTTAAAAAGCGACTTATTTTTTTTTTATCAAACTTTTTTATTGGTTGATCGAAATATAAAACGCAAAGAGAAATTCAAAAAAGTAATAGAAAACCAGGAGGAGGGAAAAGGG